CAAAATTATGGAATAAATAGTCATATGACATAAAAAGTCGAAATTGAAATACAAAAAATGTCAAACTTATGATGACACTCGAATCATTATTCCGAGAAAAGAAGTTACGACATATTGAAATGAACATAAAAAGTGGAAATTATTGCGTCATCATTTTGATCATATTTAGTTAGCTTATGTCATAAAAATTTTGTCCTGCTTATTTGAGTTATAAGAGAACTGATGGGGATGTTCTTTTAATTGCTATTCAAGCAATGCATGTCTCGTGCCCAACTCAACGAGTGTTGCCAACAGGAACGGTGTAGAGCGCCCTCTGGTGGACAAACTATACAACTCCAACACTCACGACATGCTTGAAGCGTGTTTCGTCCGTTTTTATTTTATTTTTGAAATATTCATTTATCGGCCATTATAACTGCCGATACCGATAGTTTGGAAAATGCCTAATATCGGCCGATAATATCGGTCTGGCTCTAATATGAAGTTATAACGATGGCATTCTTGCGATGTCAATCTCGACACGTCATCATAATGTCGAAGATTTGCGAAAGCGTGGTGGAAAAGGGCATTTTTTCATATATTCAAATAAATGTATTCTTTGGAATGAACGTGCACAGGCGAATCATAACAAGACCAGCATGCATTACGCATATAAAATGGAAAATGTTGATTAAAACGTGAAGAAAGAAGGATGTTTGAAGGACAAAGACTGGAGTTATAAGGCAGAAATGAGGCCAGGCGTGTTCTGGTTCTGACCCGACAGCTAATGAAGCGCTCCATCACTATAATATACACCGCTTTAACCCATTACTGGCCTCCTGAAGGTCACAACACAAACTCGTCGGGAAGGACACTCCAGACGCCAAAGAACATACATTGTGCGGTCGTCATGGCAACTGAAAAAAACAATACCGGCAGTTTCATAAACAACATCCCGAGACCTTTCTGTGCCGCGGCAGCCGTGATGGGGTGTCATTTCTACAGTACGAGAAGAAAGCTCTCTTTATATATATATGCATATCCATAATTCCCATGAACATGTCCAGCTAAGAGCCGGATTAATGGCTCTCACATGAAAAACAGGTGCCGTGTCCATTTAGCAAAGTGATTTTTTTAAAGTGCATTTGGGCTGATGCTCTAAATAGATATAAATCTGATTTATACATGATATAAATGACAAATAATTGACTGAGCAATGTTGCAAAATAATGTTTAAAATATTATGCACTGATAATAAGATTCTCTAAAACTGGTGTCGGTTTGATCAATGCATCTTATCTGGTCCATGTCCACAAAAACACCCCAGGATCTGATATAAAAATATCAAAAATGATCCGTCTTACCTCTCTCTGTGCAATGGATACATTCTTACTGGACAGATGAGGGTCTTCTAATGAGAGAACACAAATAACATTAACACTGAGAAAATTAATGACATATATGGGTCAAGGACATGGATGAAGTTCAAGAACTCAAAGGCATTTTAAATTAATCTTGATAAATAATAATTACAATAACTACTTATAATGAATACATCGTTAAATCTATCTATGTCGATTCTTTGGCTGAACCGAGATTTATGGGTAGCTGACAAATATCATTATCTACATTAAATAAGATTAAAAAATGTTAAATCGCACTATGCATAAGGAAAAGTGCGTGTTTGGGATGTTGCAAATGAAGTTAAATAGGTCACTTTTAACAGGAGTTCATGCATACAATCATATACAAATGCTGCAGGACTTTGCTTAACATGTCAAACACACAAAGCTTATTCCCCCGTGATATAAACACATAAACAGAAGCCATTTAAAGTCTTAAATCTGCCATAGTTGCAGTGCTGTACAAGTTTGTGCTCAGTTTAAGTTCCTATAAATGAGAATATGACTCTTACCCCATGTCGTTGTAAACACACAGGATGTCAAACTCTTGTTCCTGTTCTGGATAACAGTTGTGTTAAAGATCAGTAATCCGTGTGTGTGAGAGTGTGTGTGGAGTCTACACAGTGGACATGGTTTATATCTGCATGGCATCAAGCGAATGCAACACTAGCAGCCGCAGAAACTGGACGTGATGACCGGGGCGCGTGCGTGTCAGTTCCTCTTTTCCCGTGTTTTTCTTTGGTTGCACGCGCGGACACGCGGGATTCCCGCGTTCTGATGTTTCCCGCAGCGACTTTGATGACGTGCCGCGACTGTTACTTTGTAATCAGTTTTCGCTTTGATGTTCCGAGCCTCTGTGAGCGAGAGGGTTTTGAAGAGACTCTCTCTCTCTCTCTCTCTCTCTCTCTCTCTCTCTCTCTCTCTCTCTCTCTTTCACACACTCACACTCTAGTGGACAGAAGCAGAACTGCAGCTTCTTCATTGCGGCGTCTTCTTCTTCTTCTCGCCCTCTAGTGATTATAAAGAGAGTAAAGAGCCGTTAATCATATGACGTGGGCTGATGATGTGACCCTAATGAGACACTACAAAAAAAAAAAAAAAAAAGACACTACAAACATGGCGTTCCCATATCTCGCGGACATGATCGGCTAATAGTGTTTTTTCTTATAAACACTTTTTGTTATAAAGGTTGAAACTCTCTTCAAATCCTGATAGGAATCAATAAAAGAAATGGCCTTATATTAAAAGGGGTCATGAACTGGCTTTTTTTGTCTGAGGTCAACTTATGACGTTCGCTTAGTTTTTACATTCACAAACATCAAAATGAATAAGTAATAGGCTATTTTCTACCCTAGTTTTGAGCCTAGCTCAAAAACGCTCTGTTTTTACGGGCGTCTTGCACTGAAGACTTGAAGGTAAACGCCCACTGCGAGTGGATAACAGTTTTGCATATTATAATGAGTTTCACTCTCGATCTGGTTTGTCATCATGTGGTAGCAATAGCACTATGTTATTTAGCTACGCGGGTATATCTTTTATTTTATTTTTTTTATTTATTATTATTATTACTTATTATTTTTTTTCTTTATATATGTGAAGCTTTATATATACTTGATATAACATGTCAGAGTTTTATGTGTTCTGTGCTTTATACGTGCTTGTTATTTGATATATATTTAAAAAAAATTTTTTAGCTATGCTTGTAATGCGCAAATCGGTGGGCGGGGCTAAACCAGCCGTGTTGAAGTAGGCGTTGATCTTCTTCTGCGGGGGTGGTGTTTTATCCTCTTTGACATCATAGTTCCCCACTTTTAAAAATGAGTTGTTTGCTGAGCCTGGTGTCAATAAAAGCTTTTATTGGACTAACAAGGACGTTTTCAGTTCTGAAACTTACAGGATATTCTTATAATATGATGACCTCTTAGATGTCAAAAGCTCAAGGAAATTTTGATTTCTCAGTTCATAACCCCTTTAAAACGTGTCTATATATATATTTCCCGCTCGACAGGGCCGGTGTTCTGACCGGTTCTGAGGACAGTGGGTATTCAAGGCTTTGGCCCAAACTAAAATTGGGTATTCTTATTTAAAGGAGTTAAGTAATTATAAAAGCGATTTAAGAAAATAAAGTTGTATTAGTGAAATAATTCAAAGTAACCAATTTGCAAATAATATTTTATTTTTAATACATTCTCTTTCAGTGAATCAAGGAAATTAAAGCATATTTACAATTCAAAAAAAAAAAAAAAAAAAGTTGACTGATTTCACCGGCTATTTCGGCAAGTTGAACATTTCGATTGTTATCAAACCATTTTCCTGCAGCAATTTGGAGATAAGTCATATTAATTGACCTAAGGGGCGTATAAAGACCTCTGTGGACAACACAGTATATTTTCTCAGTATATGTCTCTTCCTCCGCACGGTCACCTAGGTCTTTGTGTCTCACTGACTCATCACTTCTCTGGCTATGTGGTGTGCTCCACCTCCATCACCGTTTTCACCTCCGGTAATCCCCTTGGTAGTGTTGGGACTCTTCACTCATTCTGCGCCGCTTTGTTTGCTTATAAAAACGAGTCACGGATATCTGTTAGGAAGGATCAAGGTTAGGAAAGGGAACCCATTTGAAGGCTTCTGCGATAAGGGATGACATTTTGCTTGCCTTTCCATTAAGCATTGATCCAGGCCAGGTCAAAATAAGGAACCAGGAGGTCCACAAATGTGACTTTGCCAACTACAAACGTAATGGACACCATTGCCGATTTTGACACCATTAGGCCTACATCTGCGAGAGAAAATCCAAACAAACAGTGAAAAATATCAACTATGTGGCTTAAAGTGGATGTCTAGTAAAGATGATAAAGAGTATATGGTTGAGATCAGCCAATAAGTGTGTGTTTGAGAAAGAACCTGCATTTAATTTGCTTTTCATTTATGGTCAGAACACTCAAAATGATTAAACATCTGGTCTTACCATTTGATCAAAAGGCACAAATTTGGGATTCATTGGAGACAACTCTGAAATTAACTGCAAAGACACAGACAAACTGACATATTTTGCATAATGCATTTGAAGATGGTGTATATATATATATATATATATGGACATTGACATGCAGCCAGGAATCGTGTTGCCTGACATTTATGTTTGCCTGATTTCGACACCGGGGAAATAAAAGCAATATAGACCTAAACATAAAGCAAATTTGCCTGTGAACGCTTTAGATAAATACAATATAGGTAGGTCTAAATCCGGGTGATCCCTTATATCAGCCTATGCTATATATATCATGTCATCCAGCCATAAAACTTTATAGTTTTTTGTTTTTTATGCATTATTTGTAATAATGCAGAATACGCAATGATACATTTTTAATTGACGAGTTCTTGATACACATCAATGCAAAATATATGGGTATGGTTTTACGTCATATCCTTTGATTTTCACGGCAAAAACGTTCCTTTCCATAAAAATGCGTCCTAGAAAGTTTGGGAAGTTCACACATTGGCAAAAATAAAATAAAAAAATCAATTAATAACGTATTCTTACACAAATAGCCCCTTTACATTTCATTGTAGATCATGCATAATTAAAAAAAAGACAATAAAGCAACGAGACCAGCGTTGGGTGAAAAGAAAGCAACATTTATTTGTAAAGTTACAAGTACATACTGTGGGGGTGAAAACTCTTTCCACAAAACAAAATCCTGAATTATACTTAATATCCTGATATTTTTCCAGCGTCCCTCTTCAATGCAAGTTCATTTACTGTACATTTCGATCAAATCTGATATCAGAATGCAACTTTCGCAGCGGATCCTCTCAGCACTTCCAGATCTTCAGGCAGGATCTCTTCATCATAACCAGATTACATCACCTTGGCCTGAATATCTCATTGTCATTGGCAACTGATGTTATTTCAAATCTGAGCATTGATATTTACACTTGAAGTATGAAAACAAAACTGTTTTAAGGACTTTTAGACTCTAAAAGGAGGGGTTAACATGGAAAAGATGGCGAGCAAAACGTCAAAATGTCTGTTTTTGCAACGTTGGTTATGAATGAATCATGATTGTCTTGTGGGCAACGAAAGAGTAAAGCAAAACTGTGCATATGTGAGCTTAAAACGAATCTGTGCTTGATGCTATAAAATGCGAGCGGTGATGCTTAAACAGTCAAAAGTGTTGCAAATATGGAGTAACAGCAAGGTATAAACACTCCAAAGTAAAAGTACAAAGCTGAGGCATCGGAACAGATGTTAAAAAGCTGCCATAAAACTCTGAATGGGTCTGTGGAAACCAAATAAAGTCGAGCAGTTTCCACACAGAGGGGTTACGAGAAATTCACGTCAGGTCATACAAATAAAAATGAGCAACTAGAACAGGGGGGGAGGGGGAACAAAGCATAACTACAATCTATCACTAATAATGATAAAAATAATAATAATAATAATAATGAGGAAGGGCAGTCTGGAAACACACATACATACACACGCACACACCTCTGGTTGGCATTTACCGCCGCTCTCATTGACATCATCATCATAAAGCAAGAGAGCACGACGGCGCCTCTTACGGTCAGACACAAAAACAGCGAGAATCTCACCTGTCTGTCCTTCGCATGGGTCTCCGATCTCCTGCTTTCTTTGAGGTGCGCCTGGTCATTCCCCCTTTAACTAAAGCGATCGGGGCGCGACAATATTACGAAGTGGGAGGGGTTTGCTGTGATGATCTCACACCCTTGGCAAGAATCCTGTTGGTTTTGATTGATTTTTTTTTTAGTTTTAGGGGTTTTTTTGTAGCAAGGTAAGAGATTTAAGAAGCCACATCTAAATCAAGCAGGCTAATCGAGCGGTTCTACTTCACTGTTTTTATTCTAGTTGGAAAAAATTGTTTTAAAAGAGGAATATAAGAAAGGATAGATCCGTCGGCCCCTTCCGCGTCAGCTCCGCAGAGAGCAGACGTTTAAAAAGAAAAGAGAAAGCCATTTCTACCCCTTTTTGCGTCGGCGAATCACCTAGCAGAGAGCGGGCCTTCGGATACGCGGCACCTCTTACCCTCCTTCAGGCGGAAAACCTTCCTCAAAGTTGAATCGTCCTTCAGAGCGCCCTAGCACCTGCGAAATTAAACGCTCGTCCGTTCTCTCAAAGATGTTCGGTGGTAGAACCTGAATGTCAGATGTCAACTTTGAGGGGAACTCTATTTCCCCCAAAATCAGCTGCTTGAAAAGCGTTTATAATTACTTTAAATACGTCACCCCCTCTCTCAGCTCGTGGAGACGACAGAGCAAGCGTGGTTTTTGCAGGTAAGTTTTAAGAGAACTTCATCTTTCCTCCTCCTCGGTTGGCAGGGCAAGGCCTGAGGCTGACGTCGACAGCCAGGCGAGAGAGAGAGGAGGCCGGGAAGGGTCCCTGCGCTCCGGGAGCCTCCTCCACGTTGCGGAGTTGCAGATCGAAGATCTCGTGTTTGGTCTCCTCCTAACACTGCGTCTCCCCTCTCCTTCCCCGTCCTCAACGAATGGTGGATGTAATCCGCCACTCGCACGTTCTCTTTCGTCCTGTCCAGCTTTACTCCCCTCCTGTGATTGGTTTGATTCTCTCCTGTTGCTCTCACACCATGGTGCTTCAGTTGTAACAGTGGTAAACGGGCATCCATGTTTGTTCTTTTTTTATATTTACCCATATTTAAAATGCTGATGAACTAAGCTCAGCACAGGCCTAGCTCCTGTTCCAACAACCTGCGGACACGGGCAGAGAAACACGTGCTTTATTACGTGCATGGACAAAAGAGCAAAAAATGGAACAGAATATATTAGAAAAAATTAAAAATGTTGAAATTTGTAGGTGTCAAAATAAAGAAAGATTGGCCCATCATTTTAAAAGCGAGACAAAGAACAGTGTTCATTTGAAATAGACTCGTTAATGTCACTTTTGATCAATTTAATGCGGGTGTAAAAATATATCGTCTCACAATATACAGGTGAATATGGTGCAAAAGTTCATTTATTTCAGTAACTCAACTTAAAAGTTGAAACTAATATATTATATAGACTCATTACATTCAAAGTGAGATATTTCAAGCCTTTATTTGTCATAATTGTGACGATTATGGTTTACAGCTATGAAAACCCCACATTCAAAATTAGAATATTGTGAAAAGGTTTTCATAGCTGTAAGCCATAATCGTCACAATTATAACAAATAAAGGCTTGAAATATCTCACTTTGCATGTAATGAGTTACACTCTTAGAAGAAAAGGTTCTATATAGAATCTTAAAAGGTTCTATCAGCGCTACGTATTTGGAACCCCTAAAAGGTTCTATACATTCTTTAAAGGTGCCATATGGAATAATTGAGGTACAAATATCCAAAAAATGAGCTACACACATCAAAAGAATGAGAAGAAATAAGTGCAATGATGTTATTAAAAAACTGGCAAGTTATAGTGCTGCCGAGATATAACCTAAATTAGCATGCTAAATTATTAGCCCCGGCAGGTGTCGTAATACCAGTTTCGGCCATGGGAGGCGGTATGCGGGCGGGCAACGTTACCACCAGCCAAACTGCAGTAACACGAGTAAGTCGCGCCGGCTTGTGTGTACTTGAACCTGCATGTCATGTCGTGATGTCGTGTGGAAATACAGCCCGCTACTAAATTTCAGTTCAGGGATGAGTTCAATAAATGATTGGTCGATATTATGCACGAGGAATACATTTTGGTAAGTTGTAACATATCTTTCAACAGTGTTCGTGTTCTTTTACCATTAGCTAGTAGAGATGATCGGTTCACGTGCGCTAGGGATCTGTCGTCTAACATTTACAAGCGCCAAAACTGCATTTATTGTTTGAATTGCGTAATAAAATGAACAGAATCTGAGAGCTGAGATCGGTCTCTGTGTCCTTTTCTGTGCATGACAAAATGGATGTGGCGTGAGTGTGTGAAAAGTTGTGTGTCTCACGGTGAATTTGTGAGAGTGGGCAGCTCTGAAAGGCGCTAGCTTGGTCCACATCAGGGAATGCTGTCTGTCAAATTAATTCAAACTAATGATAAAAATGTAACATGAACAAAAGGAATACCATAAACTAAAAATGCCTGGGCTTTAATTTTCCCATATCGTCGAAATGCACCGGCTTGTCTATGAGACGGCCTTTATAATTTAGTATTGAGATGTTGTTCATTTAGTCAATAATCTCTGAAAATCTCCAAATGATCCACGTGAAACTGCGGTCCTCCAACCTTTTACTATTAGTTTTACTGATTAATATGCGTGAGGGAGACCCGCTCGCCCGTGTTGTTTGAAGACATGAGTGCGCGCGGCCGCGGAGGTATTTTTCTGGAGGTATACTGCCTCCATCTGGTATGGAATATGGTGTATGAATTGATTTTTTTCCCCAGATGGCACCTTTAAAAAAGGGTTTCTCTGGGTTCTATATAGAACCATACTTGGCCAATAGAATCTTTTAACAAAAAAAAAAAAAGGTTCTATATAGAACCATTTTGGAGTTCCATATGTGAAGCGGGGGGTGGAACCATTTCTGGTTCTAAATAGAACCATTTCTTCTAAGAGTGTAGTGTTGAATTACTGAAATAAATGAACTTTTGCAACTTTTGAGTTTCACCTGTATCATCACAATACAAAAATGTAACAATATGCATCATTGATAGTGACAATATGTTAAAAACACAGGTGTATGCGCTTTTAAAATTGCTCAAAAATAGATCAGCCCATCATTTTAAAACTGGGTGGAAACGTCTGATTCACGTGCGAGTAGACAAACATAAAAAAGCACATAATATGAAACTAACCAGACGTGTAAATCAATGCACACTATCATTCAAAAGTTTGCCGTTGATAAGATTGTATGGTTTTTGAAAGAAGTCTCTTATGCGCACTTTATTTGACCAAAAATAACCGATATTTAAAATGGCCGTTTTCTATTGTAATACATGTTAAAATGTATCATTTTCAGCATCATTACTCCAGTCTTGAGTGTCACATGATCCTTCAGAAATCACTCTAATATATAAAAGAAACTGATCATTTTTGTTCAGGACCCTTTGATGAATAGAAAGTTCAAAAGAACAGTGTTTATGTGAAATAGAATAATAAATGCCTTTAAAATCAGTTCTTTTGATCTATTTAATGCGAATAAAAGTATTCATTTCTTACAATATGTATATGAAGAGTTCAGATGCAAAAGCCTCCAAGTGCCATTTGAAATTTTCTTCTTTAATGATGATTTTTATCAAGCTTGTATATTTAAGTTCAGTAATTTCACTTAAATGACAATCATTTAAGTGAAATTACTGAACTTAAATATACAAGCTTGATAAAAATCATCATTAAAGAAGAAAATTTCAAATGGCACTTGGAGGCTTTTGCATCTGAGCTCTTCATATATATATATATATATATATATATATATATATATATTAGTGACCCCAAACTTTTAAATGGTAGTGTATGTGTGGTTATCTAAGATGTGTGTGTGGTTGTCTTACACTCTAGTACTGTGAGAGTCCAGTCACTCCTCCGTGCTGATAAGCCCGTTCGCCCTGGTAGGTTGAATCCTGGGAGAGCGCCACATCCATCTGGGATTTGAACTCATCCCCCAGGTAGCTGTCCTGTTCCACACAGAAGACACACACAACTTTAACACAGACTCAAACGGCTTACAGCTTATTTAAAAATAGTGCAACTTCAATAAGCAAAACATGTCCAAGCAATTCCATGTTTAAAAGGGTTTCCGTTTTATTTCTTCCCAAATTCCGTTTTTTCTGTTTTAATTTCACTCAGGTAAGATGACGTAACACTAGAACAGCCTCTATCAGTAGAGTTTTGACTTCTTTCTTCAGTGTTTTGCTATTATTCTCGTGCACTGACGCCGACCGTCGGCTAGGTGTGTTAAAGTGTGTGTACCTGTGAGAGCTCAGGCTGGGACAGGCCAGGCTGGCTCATCTGTGAAGGCTGGCTCATGGTGATGTAGCCCTGGGTCAGAGGACCCTGGGAGAAGGGCTGGGACACCAGATCCTGACTGGCCTGGCTGCTCGGCATGTTGGCCTGCCCACTGCCATGGTTCCCTGTGCCACGGTTCCTCTGGCGACCTCCACGACCCCCGGTCTTACCTTTAGGAGCACCACGACCTGTAAGCAGCCAGAGAACCGATTAATATCGGGATCAGTGTTACTAATATAGCTTTCGTGACTATTTTGAATTAGCTTTTATTTTTATTTTGGTGTGTTTAAAAAAATTATAATAATTAAAATACATTTTTATTACAGTTTTAGTTTTTAGTTATTTTAGCACATTGAGTTAAACTAAATGAAAAATAATTATTTCCTACACATTTAAAAGTCTTAGTTTTTAAAATATTTTAAATTAGTATTTTTTTTTTTTTAGATTTTCTTTTAAGTTAAAGTTTTATTAATTTAGCTTTTTTCATGTTTATCAATAATTTGTATTTCAGTTTTTAGTACACCATGATAAATAAAATGAGAAATGTTTTCTTAGAAACTAGCTGAAATAAAATAGTTTTTTTTATTTTTTATATTTTATTCCAGTTAGCATTTATTTTGTTTAAAGAAACACATTTTTTTAAATACTTTTAGATTTAATTAACCATAATTTTATTCTTTTTTTTTAATAATTTTTTTATTCTAAACTGTTTTAATTATTCTGATTTCTTCTGATTATTTTAATTTCTTCTATGTAAAGCACTTTGAATTACCATTGTGTATGCCTTGACAAAATAACCCTGATCGTGGTTTGATTCTGCTTCACCTCTCATTGCTCTATTCACAACATTATTATCCATCTCTTTCCCAAAGTTCAGTTTCTACACTATTGTGGAATTGTTTAGAATAAAAAAAGTGCTCTTATAATGTTAGTCAATGTTTCCTGCTCAAAAGCAGGAGTGTTTATTGAGTGTTTTCTGTCACCTGCAGCGGGTCCGTTCACCTGGCCCAGGTACCCGGGCGGAGGCATGGGCGGCATGACAAGATTGAACGGGATGGGAATGTTCATGGAGCCCATAGGGTTTGGTCCGGTCCCGATCATGCCAACCTGATCATGGGTCTGGAAGTACATATTAGATGGACGACCTGTAAACACAGACCGTGAGAGAAAAATTACATTTCAAAAGCAAAACCAATAGAATAACACAGGAATCATCTGGTTGATGCTAAAACTAATGCATTAGATTATATTAGGGATGTCAATTTACATTTATTCCCATAATCGATCATAGTACAAACCTCGTTATCACGTTCCTTAACTAACACAAAATAGGTGTTGTTTTAAAGTTTAGTACAGTGAATATATATATATATATATATATGAAATATGACTATCACTTAACAAGTGCCTTTAAACTTACACTTACATTAGAAGTGCTCTATTTTTATAGTCATTAAATGTATTAGCATAGTCATTAATAAATTTAAAATACATAACTACGTATTTCTACTTCAAAACTACTGAATTTCTCTTTGTGAATCTTCTGCACGTGTTCACACGCACCTCAAAACTACACACGCTAATGATGACCTCGTTTATCGACCATCAATTCAATTGATCGCCAATTAATCGTTAGCATCCCTACTTTATGTTAACCAACAAGAAAAATAAGAGCTTTATTCTATATTAATTCATCGCAACTATAGTGTCTCGATCAGCAATGGCTTATTCAATTCAATTCACATTTATTTGTAAAGCGCTTTTCACAATACACAGATTCAAAGCAGCTTTACAGAAAATGCACGAGTCCACATTATAATATCAGAGTTATGCATTTCAGAAACGTACATATACAAAATCACGGTTAGCTAAAAATGTATTAATGTAATAATTTAAGGCAGAACCAATGAGCTCATAGAAGAAAAATGATTATGACAATATTAAGCTTATGATCATATTCTCACCAGTGTTGCTGCGGTCATACACAGATCCAGGAATCATGGCCTCTCTCGCATCATACATGGCAGTGCTCATGAAACGTGCCCCCTGAAACACACAATTACACTATTAGGAGGATTTTGCTACTTATGTGTGTTATGTGTATTGGTCCCTTTGGGAGTTATAATGTAAAAATTAGATGTTACAAATGCATTTAAAGTCCCCCTGTGGTGAAAATCAAGCTTTTAATGTTGTTTATATGAGGTGCTTTTAATACACCAAGACAAACCATGTGCAAATTCATAAGTCGACAGCATTACTGAGTGTTTCCTGCTTAAAACGCTGGTGTTTCTGACATCACAAACGACCTTGTAACCAATCAGATCAATGTTTGATCGTCAACCAGTGGATCTCTGAGTGAGTGAGTAAGTGGAGGTGGGGCTCATTTGCATATTTATAGGACCACGCATTCTAAATGAGGCAAGGGTGTCGAGTTACATTCAAGATACTTTGAGCCATGAAGATTTTTCCCCAAGGAAAAAACTATTAAATATGTCATTTTGGTGATCAAAGATGAGTTTTAAGAGATGGGGGACTTAAAAATAATGTAGCTTATTTCAAGCTACATTATGCAACTGCTTACTACAGGGCTATTCAATTAGCTTCATTCGAGGGCCGCATTATTAAATCGAAAAGTTGAGCTGGACCGGTGGGTTTAGCTTATTTATTGACACTTAACAGTATCAATAAGTAAGCTAAAGTAAAAAAAAAAAAAGGTTTTGCATTTACTAGGAAATATGGTACCCAACAGTATACAGACCATAATAAATAACTTTTTTACAGCTATACAAATATATTGAATTATACAATTTCATAGCTATTGGTAAGAATTATTTTATTAATAATTGAAGAGTTCAGATGAAGTTTGAAATTTTCTTCTAGAATGATCATTTTTATCAAGCTTGTATATTTAAGTTCAGTGATTTCACTTAAATGGCAATGATAATTACCTATTAATTGTTATTTAAGTGAAATTACTGAACTTAAATATACAAGTTTGATAAAAATCATCATTCAAGAAGAAAATTTCAAATGGCATTTAGAGGCTTTTGCATCTGAACTCTTCAATTATTATAGGCTTAAATTAAAATATCCTGACAGTGAAACTCGGCACTTGGCCCGCGGGCCGCCAATTGAATAGCCCTGGCTTACTATTTAAAATGAAATTGTAATTAACCAGCTTTGCATGTATGCATGTCATGTACGTAAACGACCATTTCTGAGCCGGAGGAAATATGAAATCTAGTCTGCACTCACAGGGTTGATGGTGTTGACCAGCTTGCGTGGTTTGCTGAACTGCATGAGGCTCTCTCTCAGGTTATTGAGTGGACCCTCCACCAGAACCTTCTGCTCCTTGTAGTAATTCAGCAGGTGGTTCCACAAAGGCTGCTTGGACAGAGCCTTAGGATTGCCCACAATGATCACGCCATATCTGTACACATACACACAAAATTGTGCATATAATCAGAGCAATTCTACATTATTTATACACAAATTTTCCTCCTCACTCAAAGTGTGCTGTTGTTACCTGGCTCTGGTTAGCGCCACATTGAGACGACGTGGGTCGTTCAGGAAGCCGATGCCCTGGTGCTCATTGGCTCTGACACAAGACAGGATGATGAAGTCCTTCTCTCTGCCCTGGAACGCATCTACACTGGCGATCTCCACCTCCTGTAGACACACAGAGGTCAATACATCACTGATATGCTGCTGTCAGTGTGCCAAACAGCCATTCATCTACAGCCCTGTGTCTCGATCTAATCATCTGGCAAATGCAAGGAAATAGTCTATTCTTCTCACCATAATTCTCATGGTCCGTATTCACAGAATTCTTCTTAATAAAGAAGAGATTCAAATTATGAATCTATTATTAAAGATATATCCAGTAAGAAAGCGCAATTCTTAAATAAGAAAACTCAAATAATTAGCAACACATTTCTAAGACTTTAGCCTGTGTGTAATGCATTTTACAGGTGTTCATTATAATGCATTATATTTTTTCATAAATAATTGTAACCAAAATTAAAATGCATTATAATATTCACACATTCCTCGTTACATCTGAAACTGGTTGTTTATAAATGCATTATACTTTCTAAAGGTGTATTATAACTCTAGTTGCAATTATTCATGAGACCATGCAATGCATTATAAGGTGCATTACAAGGCATAATTAATGCATTTTTATAATGCTATATATATATATAAAACTTAAAGATTATTTTTAAGAATTCATTATTATTATTTTTAAAGAAGATTCTTAAGTTTAGCGAATAAAAATTATTTGTATTTAAAAAAGAAAAATCAAATATTTAGCAACACATTACTAAGCCTTTTTTTAATGTACTTCATAATGTTCATTATAATGCATTATATATATTTTTTAATTTTCATAAATAATTGTATTTGTAACCAAAAATTAAAATGCATTATAATATTCACAGATTCCTTGTTACATGAGAAATTGGTTGTTTATAAATTCCTTATACTTTCTACAAGTGTATTATAACTCTAGTTACAATTATTCATGAGCCCATGCAATGCATTATAAGGTGCATTACAAGGCATAATTAATGCATTTTTATAATGCTATATATATATATATAAACTTAAAGATTATTTTTAAGAATTAATTATTATTATTTTTAAAGAAGATTCTTAAGTTTTTAGAGAATACAAATTATTTGTATTTAAAAAAAAAAATCAAATATTTAGCAACACATTACTAAGCCTTTGTTTAATGTACTTCATAATGTTCATTATAACGCATTATATCTTTTTTTTAATTTTCAATTGTAACCAAAAATTAAAATGCATTATAATATTCACAGATTCCTTGTTACATGTGAAATTGGTTGTTTATAAATGCATTATACTTTCTACAAGTGTATTATAACTCTAGTTGCAATTATTCATGAGCTCATGCAATGCATTATAAGGTGCATTACAAGGCATAATTAATGCATTTTTATTAGAACTAACTTAAGAAGTTTTTTGGGAATGCAAATTATTTGTTATTAAGTCAGAAAATAAGGAATTAGTCGTTTAGATTTGTATTCTTAAAACTATTTAGTGAATCCAGCCTCAGAACCGATTTGGGTTCAATAGCTTGGGCTGAACTCCACCTGCAAGCACGTTTAAAAGCGGTTTTGACTCTGTACCTGGTAGAGTTTGGTGTGCAGTGAGCCGCTGAACTGCATGTACTGCACCAGGTAAGAGCGCTGGCCCTCGTACGGCGTGATAATGCCAATCTGGTCAGGTTTGGCTCCGGCCTTCAGCAGACGAGTGGTGATCTTCTCCACATTAGCAGCTTCAGTCCTAAAAACAGAGACATGATTTTATCAGACCGACCCTCTGAATGAGCTTTATCTGATACTGGTAACAAGGAGTGTTTATAAATATTTATTTTTGTGGTGCGTGTCTTTTGAGAATCTGATATCACATGCAAATGTACCTGTTGAGATAGGAGGTGCCAGAGCTTGCGATCTCCTCCTGACCCTGAGTCACGTAGAAAAACATGGGCTTATCCGGCTGAGGCCACTGGAAGTCAAAGCCTTTCTTGATGCGATCAGCTGAAGAGAAACACAACATTATTAATGTGGCGACACAAATACTATCTAAAATAACTTCTAATTTAATATATTTTAAAATGTGATTTATTGAAGCTGAATTTTTTGTTTAATGTTAAATATTACGAAACATTGAAACTTCATTGAACAACATAAAAAAACACATTTTCAAAACCAATCTTAAAGGCTCTTTAATCAGAGGTCAGAAATGTGACCATTGATCATCCACTGCATTTATATTTAAATTGTGATACATTGTATTATTATGTTTATTTTAACTATGTATTGTGTAATTTTATGTAAAGGCCCCCTAGGGACAAACATTGAGAATTAGCTTCGGCCAAAATGTTGTAGTATGGAACATGAACTTATGTAACATAAAAAATAAATAAATAAATAAATAATATATATATATATATAATTTTTTTTTATTCAAAAAAAAAATAAATAAAAAAATATACTGTGTGTAATATAAAAAAATATAAAAAAATATACTGTGTGTATGTATAATGTGTGTGTATATATATATATAATATATATATATATACACACACACACAAATATATATATATATATATATAGATATATACACACACACAAATATATATATATATATATATATATAATATATGTATGTATATATAAATAAATGAATAAAAACGAATTGAAAAATTTTACAAAAGATTGTATTTCAAATAAACACTGTTCTTTTGAACTTTCTAAAACACGTTTCCACAAAAATATTAAGGAGGAAAACTAGTTTTCAACATTGATAATTAAGCACCAAATCAGTATGTTAGAATGATTTTTGGAGGATCATGTAACAGTGATGCTTTTCATCACAGGAATAAATTACATTTGAAAACATATTATATTTTAAAATATAAAAAATGTTATTTTGTAAAATTATTTCACAATATTATTGTGTTTTATTCTATTTTTGATCTAATAAATGCACTTTTGGTGCACAGAAGAGACTCGTACATTTAAAAAAATATCTTAATTGTGACCTGTAGTGTACAACAAAACAAATCTATCTATACTGGCTAAACTAAAAATCAACCAGATCGAACTTAATGCAACCGTCTGTGAACTTTATGCAAAGCGAAAATAACGTACCGGCAGTGACCCCGTTCTGCAGAGAACCCTCATAGAAGATATTTGAAGGGAAAGCGCTGAGCGCCGGGTGCATGCGGTACTGCACCTGCAGACGGATGGGTCTGATACCCAGGACCACCAGCCTCTCAAACAGAGACTGAGAAAGACCCGCTTTAGCCGCCTTCTTGCACATGACCACAGGACCCAACTGGCAGTGGTCACCCACCAGAATCAGCTATTAAAGACACAGCACAGTACAGTTACTACTAGAGAAAATATACACTTGCTTACAAGAGTGTATACATAAACTTCAAGTACCGAATTTTCCAGAATATAATCAAATAAAAAAATGTAATCTCTGAAACCTGCTCAATTTATATTCCAAAGCAACAAACACAATTAAATTAACGTTAAGTTTAATTTCCACCTTTTGTCCACTTTTAATCCCTATAATCCCATCCTTTAATGTGGCACAGTAGAAAAACACTGATGATCTCATATACAAAGTCAATTGTTGGCAAATTAAAAATGACTGGGTCTGTGCATTCGTACAAAATTTTCAGTTATCTCTCCACACATTTAACTTGAACACAGTGTGTGCTTAAAGGAGAACTCCGGCACAAAATGAACCTTTGGTCTAATTACACATTGTTATCTAGTCAACCGTTATCTGAGATTTGTTTTGATGATTGCTGAATGTAAATAGTATTATCTCTAAAAACAGTTTAGCCTATAACGCTAGTATAATGCTAGTATATAGGGCATAGAGTAATGACAAATAAAAATCGCTTGTTATTACCACTAACAAGGCTCAAAATAGCCCCACAGTAACACGACAGCATAATAAGTGTCCCTACATTCAAACCGAAGCATTGAGAACTTTGTCAGTGTCCATACAGTTTAATAAGAAGATATTTTATACACACAGTCAACTTCGGGAATACTAAAAATAGTTCGAAAAACGCCGATCCATGTGCACCGGTGAGATGTGAATAAGGTGATAAGGTGAGCGCGAACAGTAGTCTAAATACATATTGAAGAGAAGAAAATGGTTCGTGTTTGTGTTTCTTCCGGAAACAACGGACCATATGAGATTCTGCACAGTTCAGCGCACTTGGATCGGCGTTCGTAGATCGACTGGTAGAGACTGTTTTTCAAAGATGGCTTCTTCCTGTATTCGCGAAGTTGACTGTGTGTATGAAATATCTTCTTATTAAACTGTATGGACACTGACAAAGTTCTCAATGCTGGTTTGAATGTAGGGACCCTTGTTATGCTGTCGTGTTACTGTGGGGCTATTTTGAGCCTTGTTAGTGGTAATAACAAGCGATTTTTATTTGTCATTACTCTATGCTCTATATACTAGCGTTATACTAGCGTTATAGGCTAAACTGTTTTTAGAGATAAAACTATTTACATTCGGCAATCATGAAAACAAATCTCAGATAACGGTTGACTAGGTAACAATGTGTAATTAGACCAAAGGTTCATTTTGTGCCGGAGTTCTCCTTTAATAGGCAAAATAAGGCCTCGTTTACACTGTCTTGATGCCCAATTCTGATTTGTTGCCTATATCCGATTTTTTGGGACCGTCCGTTTACACGTTCTTTTAATTGTGACCCATATCAGATTCATGGGTTTACACTTGTCAGATCTGAAACATTGCGCATGCTTAAAAGGAGTTCTCGAACAGATGGACGAAATATGCTTCATGCTAGCTTTGTGATATATGTGAAGTTCGCCAAAGATTTGAGGTGGTGGAGGTGGAAAAGGCCATCACTGCAGCCTGTGTGCGAGAGAGATCTCAGGACTAGTGGGAACATATAACACAATCTCATGAAAGTGCGTATCTATAGCATGAATTTTAATAACTCGTGCCATTTAAACGGCAAAACAGTTTTTGGGTGCATATGATAGGCGCTTGGGTGTGGAGTGCATGCGTATTACACGTAATAAAGTGCGTATGCACGCAATGACTATTTTTGGCGTAAATGGTACGAGAAATCAAATTTGTGCTATAGATACGCACTTAAAGGATTAGTTCACTTTTGAAAAAACTTTTGCTGATAATTTACTCACCCCCATGTCATCCAAGATGTCCATGACTTTCTTTCCTCAGTCGAAAAGAAATTAAGGTTTCTGATGAAAACATTCCAGGATTTTCTCCATATAATGGACTTCAATGGGGTCCAAACGGTTCAAGGTCCAAATGAGAGTTTCAGTGCAGCTTCAAATGTCTTTAAACGACACCAGACGATGAATAAGGGTCTTATCATGCGAAACGATCGGTTATTTCAAAGCTTATTCCAAAAATGTCACTTTTCTAAGGACAAATGCTAGCCTTGCTCTATTCTGTGAGGCGCGTTTGTAACGTCACGTAAAAAGGTCACGGGCGACGTAGCCGGAAGTACAGAATCAAAATCGTCCGACATCGTTGTTTTACCTTTTAATTACTTTTTTTGTAAACAGCGTTTGAGTTAGTTTGCACTATGCGTTCAACTTGTAAACACTGACTCTGTACTTACGCCTACGTCCCCCATGACCTTTTGAACGTAATTACGTATTACGTGACGTTGCAAACGCGCCTCACAGAATAGAGCAAGGCTAGCATTTGTCCTTAGAAAAGTTACGTTTTTGGAATAAGTTTTGAAATAACCGATCGTTTCGCATGATAAGACCCTTATTCATGTCGTTTAAAGCCCTTTGAAGCTGCACTGAAACTCTCATTTGGACCTTGAACCGTTTGGACCCCATTGAAGTCCATTATATGGAGAAAATCCTGGAATGTTTTCATCAAAAACCTTAATTTCTTTTCGACTGAAGAAAGAAAGACATGGACATCTTGGATGACATGGGGGTGAGTCAATTATCAGCAAAAGTTTTTTCAAAAGTGAACTACTCCTTTAAATGAGATCATGGCGTGGTCATGAGCAATAAATCACAATTGGGTCACATTTCACTGAGTGTAAACGAGGCCTAAGGCACATCAAGTTTACTTGCATAGTGCGTTTCGTGTTTGTTATTATGTTGTGGATTAAGGGGGGACTAAAAAGCTTGTACTGATATTTTTAATTATTTCCAGGAAATCACCTGTTTGGCCCCGAGCACCACGGGCACCATGCACTCGGGCTCCGTGGCCTGGGTGCTCTCATCGATGAGAATGGAGCGGAACTGCATCTTTGCCAGGCGAGGGTCACCCGCACCCACACATGTGCAACAGATCACATCTGCGTTCTGAGAAAGAAGAGAAAATGAGATGTTTGGGTTGGCTGATGGACCATGTCATGTTAGGGGTGTAACGGTACACGGTTTCATACGGGAACATTTCGATACGGGTCTTTCGTTTAGGCACCAATAATTGCAGCATAGTTCTTACGCATCTGAGAAAATAATGGAAGGGAAAAGTGCATTATCCACGTTGTCCTTATTGCTTAACTGCTTTATATTACACACTTCAAACTAACTCAAACAAATAAAGCGGTATGCCATCCTGTCAGACATGCGTGCTACTTTTTAATGCATTTGTTTTCCTCGGCACATAACTTATATCTTATGGTTGTATCCTTATTTGTAAATGTTACATATAAATGTTTATAAATACTGCAAATAATGTTCACTAAACCTCTTTTTAATAAAAAATGGGGGGGGGAAGGCTGTTTTATGTTGTGTTTTTCGCTCTGCTGTACCGTAAACAAACCAAGGCGTGACTTAAGCCTAAAACCGTATTCTGGACAAATGTGGGCAAAATAGTTTTGATTTATTTAAAAAAAATAAATAAAATACTTCCCGTGATCTGAGCGGTACAAGACTTGGCTACTTTTCCTAAGTTTGCCTCCTAAATGCACACAATTTTTTTTTGACTCAATCCTACATTGTTAAGTGGGTGAAAAAAACTCCTTAATCTTGTATTTGGGTCAAAAATGGGCAAGAAATGAATGGGAAAAACTGTAATTTAGAGCATTCTAAAATAAGACACCAGGTGACAGCAAAGTCACTTCATCTTTAGGTTTTAGCTCTAAGAACTTATTGGAAGGATATTTTAATGTAGTTAAAAAAATAATAATAAATAAAACATAAAAATAAGCATAATTTACATAGAAAATATGGTACTTTTTGACGTAAATAAATTCAAAAATACCCCCAAAATAAATAAAAAAACACCATGAATGGATAGACAAAACTTTATCGAAGACAGTGATATAACATTTATAATAAAAATTAGGAGTCCTCTGTGCCCACATTTGTCCACAATTACAGGATTAAGGGATATTAAGTGAATACGGTTTGAGGGCTACAAATGACAGTACATGCATGTTGGTTTTGGTGTATCGTTACACCCCTAGTGCATGTTAAACCGCAGCATTAATATAAAGCACTGAACAATCCACTTCAGACTCTAGAAACACTGTGAAACATCCCAGCATGTGGTGTCTATCTGTGTTTTAAAGTGAAGTCAGATAGGTACCATGAGCAGCTCTCTCTCTGCGGTTCGTTTGAGAGCTCGGTAACGTTTCTCATCAGAAGACGACAGCTCGCCAGTCTCGTCCTTCAGCTGCTGCAGTTTCTGCAACTCTGGCATGCTGGAGAAATCACAGGCAAACATTAATCCTCTTAAGATCTATTACATATGCAGCGTTCAAACTGAAATTAAGGGTTGTAGATTTTGAAAAACACTAAATCTGATCAATGTTAATGGTAAATTTAAGACTGCACAATGAAAGCAATAAATAAACAGTTGCCAAATATTCACAGATAGGGATGGGGGTTATTACTTGAGAGGACTCGGACAAAGCTCAAAAGTACGTGTATTTCTATTTGTGGGGTGCTTTTGTGGAATTCGATCAAACAAAGTGTTAACATGTTGCAATTTTTTTTTTAAAGTACAGAAGTGGTGAGGGCGAACGACTCATAACTTGCAAAGCATGCTTGATAATGGTGTCCGTTTATGCTTCTTTATCTTAATTTCAGGATAAAGCATTAGCTAATTTAGTAGTTTTTTCTGTATTATCTTAAATGTTAAGTTGAATTTATCTTGTTCGTTTGTGATTTGGTTTGGGTAGTTACTGGGTCCTAATAAGCCTAATGGTGCGTTCACACCGGACGCGAATAGCGCGAGTGATTTCAATGTTAAGTCAATGCAAAGACGCGTTACGCGCGTAAAAAATCCTGCGGCGCAAATGAGGCGTAGAGCGCGGCGCGGTAGACGCGAATACGCCTCATTCGCGCGTCAAGTTCAAGAACGGCACAAATTAAGCGTCTGGCGCGTTACGCGCAAATGATTTAGTTAGTGCTATTTGTGTATTCACGAGTTTGACGCGAAGACAACCAACATATGTGCATAAGTTCGTGTCTGGACGTGAGACAGGAAAAAAAAAACATCACTTTTGGAGCAACATAAAAAAGATGGCCGCCAACGGGTTTCGATTCTGACGCGCGTGACACGTAAATTTCGCTTCAAACTTTTGTTTTTACACGCATCAGTTTCACTTTTGACGCGCAAATTAACACAAAGTGGTCAAGCGTCAAACTAGACACGGTAGAGGTGAATTTGACGCGCTATTCGCGTCCAGTGTGAACGCACAGTAAGGCTTCCCTTTTCAAACAAGTTATGCTACATTTTATTTTTTTTATTCTTGGTTTTGTTTTTATTTTATTGACGGATATTGTATACATGTTTTTTTTTTTTAATTGTTCGAAATAAAGATTTTCATTCATTCATTCATAATGCCAGCCTAAAACCACTTACAGCACAAAGAAATAAAACGTCTAATAGCATGAGAACAGAAACGTCTGTACCTGTCCATGTTGCGGATCTGATTGTGCAGAGCCAGGAAAGACACCGGTGAATCGATGGCCTCACGACTCTTAGCGCACAGACGAACCACCTTCAGCCCCGTCTGATGGATCTTCTCGGTCAGCTGGTCCACTGCGATGTTACTCGGAGCACAAACCAGCACTGGACTACAAACAAAAAAAACTTGGAATCAGATATGCATTTATTGGTTACACTTTACAATAAGGTTCATTAGTTAATGCGAACTAACAAAGAACAATACCATTTGTTACAGAATTTATTAATCTTTGTTAAATGTTAGTTAATAAAAATACAGATGTGCGCTAAGATTCTGATTTAATACGAGTATTAACCTGAAATAAAACCGTAATCATGATATGACTTTAGGGCTGTCAAACGATTAATCGCGATTAATCGCATCCACAATAAAAGTTTGTGTTTGCATAATATATGTGGGTGCACTGTGTATAATTATTTTATGCACATGCCTGTATATATTTAAGAAATATTTTCATGTATATACTGTATATAGATTTATCTATAATTAATATTATATATAAAAAGTATTTTATATATAAATCATATTTTTTTCTTAAATATACATGCATGCGTGTGTATTTATATATATATATACAAAATAATTATACACAGTGTACCCACATATATTATGTAAACACAAACTTTTATTTTGGATGCGATTAATCGTTTGACAGCCCTATATGACTTAGAGTGGCTTGAGCCGCTTTAATGTGCATTCGGGAACACAATCTGGATCTTCCCAAACTTAATGAGAAGCATTTATCAACAAAATACAAGCTTTAAAGGCTCCCTGCGGATTGCAGTCAAAATACAGGTTTGATGGTTTAATGTTTGAAAGTGAAGAAACAGAGATATAAACTACAAATATTATTATTTTACAGTAATGGAAATAAAGCATATTATTTTTCTTAAAAAGCAGATTTGGTTATTTTACAGAGAAATAATGCAAAAGTAATAATTCATAATTCTAATTTAGAAATATTAGTAATTTACAAAAAGGTTTCATAACACAAAATGCACTTTTATATGGTGTTTGCATATAAATGTGTGTTTGCAATGTGTGGACTTTTTTTAATCCTCAAAAAGCCTAAACGTTCTTAATAATCAAGCCGTTTGGATTTTCTGAGCAATATGATGTCATAATGCCCATGCTCCGCCCACGGCCGTCTCGTATTAGCACATATTCGCCCTCAGCCATCTGTATACCGTCTGCCAAGGCATTTGCTCATTATCATTCAAAGAGACATGCACTGAAACAGGTCGCTGTGAACAGAGCTGTTTTTAAATAGGTAAAAAGGTGTTGTTTTACACAATCATTGAGGAATTTTAACCTAAGTATGTTACAAACTTTACATGAAGACAACTCGTGGAAAATGGGCATCCAATGACCCCTTTAATCAAAAAACAAGGAAAAATACTTCCATTAAATACATTTATTAAAGACAAACTGTAGCCAATAATTAAATCCTTAAAACTCATCTTTGAACACCAAAATGACAAAATCTGTGAAAATTTGATTGGATGTAACTCTACAATCTTGTAGTATTAGCCCCGCCTCCACTCACTCATTCACTCAGCTTTGCTGTAGTAAACACTGCAAAAAGTCAAGCGGAAATACAGGTTTCATTCAACCATGAAAGTTTGAACCAGAAACCGATTCGGAAGAAGTGGAAGAGCGAGTTGCACAGGCTCGTCTACAAGTTGATGTATCAGAATGGTAATTCAGTGTGTGTATCGCTCTCTATGTTACACTCAAAACTTGGCTTGCCTTCCTTACACAAACCATGTTCCCGTTCGCCATCTCAGAGACAGCTGCCTTTGAACATCAGTGGAGAAAGGCATAGAGTTCAATTATAGAGAATTATACAATTATATAGTAGAGGCGGGGCTCATTTGCATATTCATAGGACCACACATACTTAATGAGGCAAGGGTGTCAAATTACATTCAAGATTTGAAGGCATGAGGACATTCTTTTTCAAAGAAAAAAAAATTTGGTGATCAAAGATGAGTTTTAAGGGATAAAATGATCGGACATTAAAACATTAAAATCTTGATTTTCACCACAGGGTGACTAAAATGAATTCATGTTAATTTCAATATTTACTAATACATTATTAAAGTCAAAATATGTCTGTTATAATTATTTATTGGACCAAAGCTAAAATGAACAACAATGTGCTGCTGTATTTTCATTAATTAATGTTTATAAATAATGTATTACTCGTCGTTTATAACATTAACTAATGAGACCTTATTGAAAGTGATAATAAAAATAATGAGGTAACACTTTACAATAAGGTTCATTAGTTAACATTAGTTAATGTATTAACTAACAATGAGCAATCCAGTTGATAAGTTATTTGTTAATCTTTAACGTTATTTAATAAAAATACATCATTCATCAGTGCATTAACTAATGTTACCTAGATTTTAATAAAGTATTGGTAAATGTTGAATTTAACATTAACAAAGATTAACAAATGCTATATCCGTGCAGTTCATTATTAGTTAATTGTAAAGTCTTACCAATAACGATAAGGAAATAATTCATATTTTAAATTTAGCAGAAAAATCTCAAATAGATTATTTCAAGCCCTAGTATTATCCAAATTAACTCACATTTCATGTTGAAATTGTATGACACATCGGAAATACACAGATACACACATTTGTGTCAACCACTACCGTGAGAGGACGTGTCTTACCCATTGCCCTGTCTGGCCAGATGGTAGACTATAGTGGCAGAGGTGACAGTCTTGCCGGTTCCTGGAGGCCCCTGGATCAGACTGAGGGGTCGCTGCAGCACCGTCTTCACAGCATACACCTAAAATTGTGCCAATGAGAATCACAAGTCAAGTCACCTTCATTTATATAGAGCTTTCAAAGGGGGTTTCAGTCAATCTCATGTTAATCTTGAGTACCTATAGAGTAGTATTGCATCCTTCATATCTCCAAAAAGTCATCAGTTTTATTATATCTATAAAAGAAAGAGTCTTTCCGGGGAACAAAATGAGCTGGTAATGGCATGCCGCGTGGGCGGAGCTAAATAATCAAAGCTTTTGCGTTGGAAGCTAGCTGTGACCATAGATATCTATATAAAGGCTAGAAGTCTCACGGCGGAGTATTTATCGTCATCACCGGCGGCCATCTTGTCACAGTCAGGCTTTCTGGCGGGCTATGGTTGAAAATCTTGACGGACTTACAAACGGCTTGGTTTCTTACAAACGTTATTAACGTGGCTATAATTATGGATGATTATTTATTTATACACTTGTTTTTCATAAGTATGCAGTGTCATAACTACTTCTCTGCCGTTTATAACAAACCAGACCGTTTGAAAATCGGTAGAAAATTGAGCAAGTTACGGTGATTTAAAAATGACATCCACCATTAAAACAATGTTACGAGTGAGCGAGCTGCCTGTGGCAAGATGGCCGCCAGGTGCTGACGTCGACCTCCATTGGCCAGCAGCGCGGACGAGACATCTAGCCTTTATATAGATCAGATTCAGCCATACATTTTTAAATCCCGAGGCTAAAATTGAACGACTACAGCAGGACGTCTCTGTGATGTATAGTGGAACTGTATTATATTTGCTTACTGGTTTTTGTAAATGACTAATTTTCACTTTATGTCGTCGTATTTTTTCTTTTCTTTAAAGGTAAACAAATGTGACAACAGAACCGGAAGACAATGCAATGCAGAATAAAGTCGTAATTTTTGTTATTTTTGGACCAAAATATATTTTCGATGCTTCAACCACTGATATCACATGACTACTTTGATGATGTCTTTATTTCCTTTTTGGACAAGGACAGTATACCATACACCAGGGGTCGGGAACCTTTTTACCCAGAAGAGCCAAACAAACAAAACAAAATTGAGAAATTTTTCAAAAGAGCCAGAGCAAAGTTTACACTCATATATTAGACAAATTTGCAACAGTAATATATAATAACAACAGTAGTAATATACGACTTGCACTGGTAGCAGTTCTGGTAGTTATATAACGTTACCACAACAACACTTTTTTTTCAAAAAAAAAAAAAAAAAAGTTGTTTTATTTGTTTGTGTGTGTGTGTGTTGGGGGGGGCGCTAACTTTCGCGAGGCACATAATATACGCGCGTGCATGACAGAGAGGGAGAGAGCGAGACACTCGAGGTGACACTCTCTACCATGCACGCGCCGCCGCGCGATATGCACTAGCGCAGGATTGATTGACTATCTCGCTTTAGATTCCGGGAGATTTTAACTAATTTTCCGGCATCAGGGAGACGCTGTCAATATGCGGGAGACTCCCAAAACTTCCGGGAGACTTGGGATGTCTGATATTTTGTTCACTGACATGCTGGTTTCTAGCACACTGGACGAAAAGCGCAGCGCCTCATAAAATTCAAACACTTTATTCACTGGAGTGTACATCGGTGACCGGTGGCCCATTCTGTCCGCGGCGCCCAGCAACAGCTCAGGACCTTGTTCAAAATCCTGCCTCGCCACATAGCGCCATTTACATAGTTTTATATAAAACTTACTTTTTTTTTGTCTCAAACAGTCGTTAATGTACTGACTTCACCGTGTGCTGCAATTTTTATTTACTTTTACATTCATTTTCAGAAATCAGCTGCTTAAATGAAAATTGCTGATGAAAATTGCTGAGGTAAAGTGTTCTGCAGACTTCGCAACGATTGTATTTAATTGTACAGTACAATTATAACATAGTACATTATCTTAATTCCATAATGTCCTTAAACATAACAATATTGCCGGCCATAAACTGAGAAAGTGCGCGTCCGGTTTGCGATACCCATGTCCTAGACGCGGCGCGCGCTTCTCGTCCGGTGTGCGATACTTCTGTCCTAGACGCGGCGCGCGTCCGGTGTGCGACCCCCTTATGACGCCACACAAATTGAGAAACGGGCATCATAAGTGTTGCATGGTGCATCTCAAATTATCTCTTAATATTTTACTTTTTGAGAGACTTTTTCAGTCAACATTTGAAAATTGGGAGAGCCATATAAAATCCTGAAAAGAGCCATATATGGCTCGCGAGCCATAGGTTCCCGACCCCTGCCATACACATTTCCAATGGAGGGACAGAAAGCTCGGGGACTAAATCTAAAATATCTTAAACTGTGTCATGAAGACGAACGGAGGTTTTACAGGCTTGGGACGGCATGACGGAGAGTCGTTAATGACAATTTTCTTTTTTGGGTGAACTAACCCTTCAAAGTAAAGTTAACGAAAGTCATCATGAGGATTGTAATGTTCAAAGCAGAAGATTTTAAAATTTTGACTATACATATGTGGTGTTTCTTTACAAATTGACCTCACCAAATGACTTGTCTGGCCTGCATACAGTAAAACTTCAAATAATAGCCCGGGCTTTTATTTTCCCAAATCGACAAACTGCACCGGCTTGTATTTGAGACAGGCGTCTATATGAGACAGGCCTTTATAATTTAGTGTTGAGATGTTGTTCATTAAGTCTCTAATGTCTAAAAATGTCCAAATGCTCCACATGAAACAGCAGTCTTCCGATCTCTTACTATTGTGTCAATTGATTTTATTAAAATGCACGAGGGAGAGAGAGACAGCACTCGTGTTGTCTGACGATGTGAGAGTCTCTGCTCGTATGCGTCCTATCAAGCACAACAGTTTCTATTCTACATCACTCACCCATCAAAATAGGCTTCGGCGGGACAAAAATTTGATTTGGCGAACGATCTGACGGGTTTTAGAAGATTAAATACAAACCGAAACTAAAAAACAGACCCAGCGTCTATTTGAGACCGGCTTTTATTTACCCAAACCAGGCGTGTAAAAGAGACGGGCGTCTATTTGGGACCCGGCTTTTATTTGAAGTTTTGCGGTAAAACAGAATTTTTGGTCATTTCCGCGGATCCACATGAACTGGAGTCATTTTGATCATGTTTTATCTGTACAGAGGTTAAGCAAAGGAGGCCTAGTTCACAGCATAACCCTATATTGGGCCAGAACAACTGGAGTTTCAAATGGCCGAATGAGGTGAAGGGGAGTCTGGGAAGCTCTGTACCTGCGAGTGGTTGAGGTCCGGCAGGCCCTGCGCAGTGAAGCGTTTGGGAAGCTGGCATTTGATGATAACGTCCTCCACCTCGTGACCCAGCAGCTTGTGGTAGATGTAGCCAGACACCGAGGTCTCATCCACAGCAAACGTCTTCAGGGCGCTCTGCATTCTTCATGACGTGATAAACAAAAAGCTGATTCACTAGATTCACAGATCATTAGACCACTTTGAAAATTAAACTGATTTCCCACATGTAATTACAAATAATCAGGAGCATCAAGCTTAAAAAAAAAATATCCATAAAAATATGTTGATAAGACTCATGCATCAAGTAAGGTCGTACGATAACCTTTTGTGAAAAAGACAAAACTTAAAGCTACAATATGTAAGTTTTTTCGCCGCTATGGGTCGCTAACCTCTTACAATAACAAAGGTGTCGGTTGACGACGCATTGAATTATGGAACTTGTCGTCATGCCGATGGATCTAATAATGTTTATAGATGAGTGATTGATGTTTTTATCAAAAAGCTGATTACTTTTATGTTTGTCCTTCATATGTTTTAGTATTTTATACTATGTTGCATTTTTTTTTTTAAGTTTGATGCACGTTTTTATTGAATATGATGTTGTCGTTGATATGGCTATATGATTTTTATGTAAAGCACTTTAAAAAAGTGCATTTTACACCTGAAAAGTGCTATATAAACAATTTTGATTATTATGTTATTATTATAGTTAACTAAACTAAAACAAAAATATGTTATGTGAAATAAAATAAGTGTTTTTAAGTAACAAATAAAATTAATAAAAAAAACGTTATAGACACTTTTTTTTTTTTTAAATTTAACCTAAACTTTAAAACGAAAATAAAAATGGAAAATATAAAAATAGTATCTCAATGACATTTAACCACATGCAGGTAGCAAATAAGCACTGTTTAAATGCAACAAAACAAATGGAAACGACTGGATGGACTATTTAATGAAAGCATTAAATTATACAATGTGTCTATATGTGTATGTAAGGGAGACCGGTTCATTCGTATTGCCCTCTGTTTTATGTTGTTTGCATATTTGTTGGCTCATTTGTTTTCTCTTGTATTATGCAATCTTGCTTGTCATCAACTAGTTTATTGGTCCGATACTTGCTTTTTTTCATATTTATATTGGTTTATATTTGTTTGTTACTTTCACCGTTGTGTTTTTTTAATGCACTTATTTGTATTGTTTACTTACAAAAAGAAAAGAAAAAAGAAAGCATTAAAACGTTACAGTGGGACTAACCGGTCAAAAGATGTCGACTTCCACACGAAGTCCACCTGGAAGTTGTGCGGCACCTCCACAGGAGCCCCTGCACTGCTGCGCAGCTCAATGGCAATCTCATCTCCATAATCTGACACAATCTCGTTAAAGAATCAACCGTATCATACTTTTGTCCATTGTAAATCAAAACAGTGATTTTGCTGATATACTGTGTTAGGTGTTTGCAAAACTGTCACAATGCCAACATGTTGAGAATTTTGCTATGCATCTGAGTGGTTTCAATTATGATCCTATGAAATAGAGCCCGACCGATAAAGGATTTTGAAGGCCGATACCGATACAAATATTTTTGGGGTTTTAAAATCCGATATATTGGCCGATATTTTTTTATTATTTCAGAAACGCGCAACAAAACATTAACAGATTTCCCTAACATTAGTTATTTGTAGTTATTTATGAGTTTTAACTAAAATAATATGATAACGCATTTTAAAAAGAAACTTGTTTCTTTTATTGTCGCAACAGCTGGCATTAGCTAGCTTTGTCGTTAGCTAGTCTATGATGAGCCATAATTTAGCAATGGATTACGTCATACTGCAAATTGTAAAACTTACATTTTCAATATAACAGGCCGAGGAGAGATGATGCGTCTCATTGCTAAAACTGTCACGCGCTATTAAAGAAATAGTTCAGTCACATCAAAAGTTAAAAGGACAGTCAGTCAACTACACTGTAACAACGCAACGTAACTATTACTAGCTAATTCCGCTTCACTCTCGGCTTATTTACCGCAGCAAAACTGGACATGATAGTCACAAATTTTGTCACTTATTTGAGTTAAGAGAACTGATGGGGATGATCTTTTAATTGTTAATCAACAATGTATGTCTCGTGACCAACTCAACGAGTGTTGCCAACAGGAACGGTGTAGAGCGCCCTCTGGTGGACAAACTATACAACTCCAACACTCATGACATGGTTCAAGCGTGTTTCGTCCGTTTTTATTTTATTTTTGAAATATTCATTTATCGGCCATTATAACTGCTGATACCGATAGTTTGGAAAATCCCTAATATCGGCCGATAATATCAGTCTGCCGATATATCGGTCTGGCTCTACTATGAAATATACTTTATTGTCCCTGATTAAAATTTCTAATGCCAGCATTTCACCAAAACTGATACTTTAAAAAAAATTACACCCTATGCAGTTGATAAGGTTGCTTATCAAATCATTAGGGGTGTCACGATTCTCCAAATCTTCGAATTTGATTTAATTTTCGATTCAAAGGTCACGGTTCGATTCGATTCTCGATTTTTACATTTATTTTTTTTAAAGCACAGGTTGCTATACCATTTTTTGACTAGACTTTTATGCAATATAATATCTGACCAAATTTAAAACATTTATTAACAACATAAATTGCTTAGAATATAATATTTTTTTATCTTTTATATCTTTATAGGAAACTTTTTTACGCTTGACACGCCGACCGGACGTCACATGGGGGCGGGGCAGAATCGACGATTCCATTTTTAATTCGAAGTTTGAGATTGTGACTTAATTTCGGTCGTGACACCCTTACAAATCATCAATTCTATCTAATAATAGATCAATATCTAATAATAGTTTTCATTTTGCAGCAGCCAGTTGGATAATCTTCGTTGAAAGGATGCTGTCCGGGACTTTGATGACGTGTCCGATCCCTTTCCAGAGTGGAGCCAAGTCTCCTTTATAGCGCAGACAGATCTCGTCTCCTTGCATCAGTCGCATGTCTGATAAAAATCACCACCACAGAGAAAACACCGTCAGATAAACCACATCTTCCCGATTTATGTTCTAATAACAAAAATAGAGCTATATATCCATCACACACACACTACAGCAACACAAACACACATGCACGCGCGCACACACACTCGGGCAGACATGTCCGTGCACACATCGATGAGGGATGCATGGGACACGGTGTTAGGGATGGGATGGATATGAACCACTGGTAGACACAGAAGATGTTGAAAGTGAATATTACCACCTGAATCCGTCTTGGGCAGAGTGAAATAAGCTATCCGCTTTTTATTCAGTCCCAAATCCCACCTCACAGTTATATTGTCTTGAGTCTGCAGTAAAAGACAAAGAGAAAACATTAGAATAACAGCAGAATAAAAAACGCATTTAAAGATACGCATATGATTTATTCCACTTATAAACAACCTCTCTTTACCAGAAAGAAACTCATGTACAAGGAAAAAACCTGAACGTCCATCTATCGCTTTTTTCTTGCAAATAAAGTGCAATGTTCTTGTTCCCGAAATAAAAATCCCATCCATTGTTATTTATGTTTTTAAATGTTATTTATGTTTTTATCTATTTATTATCTCATGTTTTTATCTGTTTTTGTGTAAATGTGTATGTGTTTGCTACCTGTTGTGAACTAAATTGCCCCTTGGGGACATTAAAGATATTTCAATTTCAACATTTTCTAATTTTTTTTTATTGTTGCAATAACGCAATGTATAACGTTTCAAGACTCAGATGTAAAGAGATGATTTGATTGTCTTGATTTGTCTTTTTGTTTGGATTTTCACTTGACACTAGTATTTCAAACACATTTCAAACAATTTTAAGATTCATCTCAGAGCTAGTTGATTTTATTCATGGCGTAGAACTTTTTTTTAATTTTTTTTTAATGTCTACAAAAAATAAATAATGGAAAAATACTTCCAGAATTAACGGAGCAGAAATGGATAGGCAACAGTTGCGCCCCCTAGTTCACTTAGAAAGGTTTTCGTACTTGGGACTCTTTGAGTTTCTTGTCGTAGTCAGCCTCTAGTTTGACCAGCGGACCAAAAATGTTCTGGTACTGATAGGCATCTTCGTAGCGTAGCAGAACGTGCTGAGGTTCCTCATCCACTCCAGGTTTCTCCAAATCTTCCAGGGTCGCTGTTGGGTTTTCCTACAAACACGATAGAAGATTAGGATGCTCAAAACTACAGTTCTGCATTGTTGTGTTTTCATTTCATATGTAAGATGTAGTGATGCACCAAAATTAAACTTCTGGGCCGAAACCGAAACGTCTGGATGACCTTGGCCGAGTTTTTAAAAATAATTATTAATTTCTTATTTTAAATTTTAAACTATCACCCAACGATTCTATTTCGTTTACAAACCACGTTTTTGTCACGAAAAATCACGTGATGAAACGAACCGGAAATGACGCAAAACAGCACGCGCGCCAATACCCGACGAAGAGCACACGCGAATATGCACGTCAGACAGAAACTAGTGCTGAAAACTGTTTGCGCGATGATTTGCTCTGAGAAAAAAAATGCAAAAATAAGATTTAAAATAAGAAAAAAAATAATAAAGAAAAAAAATAATTTAAAATAATAAAGAAAAAAATAAGATTTACCCGGTGACCTCAACCCATGGCCGCCAACAGATTTCGATTCTGACGCGCGGAAATTTCGCTTCAAACTTTTGTTTTTACGCGCGTCAGTTTCACTCTGGACGCACAAATTAACACAAAGTGGTCAACACAAAGTGATTTGACGCGCTATTCGCGTCTGGTGTGCACAAGTTCCTAAAAATGTTGTACTAGAGTGAAACCTGATCGCGGCATATTTTCGACTTTTTTTATTTTTCAGCCAAAATTTCGGTGCATCCCTAGAAAGATGAGAATCACTGCACCTTCCAGAGCTCCTCGAGTTTGTTAATCTGCTGGGCCGTGATCTGACGGGCCCTCAGCTGCTCCTGCTCGGATGGGATCTTCACCAACCAGGACAGAAAGCAACGGTCCTGGATGAGCGGCTGCCACTGAGAGCTGTCCCAATTAATGTCCTTCAGACTGCTCTGACTCGCGCACGGCTGCCTAAACACACAAACACACACACACACACCCATGAGACGGAGAGACTGCACACCCTCAACAACATGCACTGTGTGGTTTCACAGCTTCAAGTGTGAGTAAATTTATGCATTTATGTATACAACTATTGATTAAAATGATATTACTTATATAATTCATAAAAATTAAATGTGTGCATTTATCTACACTTCATAAGCATATTAAAAGCAAGTATGCTAGCACACGAGGCACATAAAGTGCAAAAGTTTCTTGTTCAGTTTCATTGTGTAAAAATTTAAATACGAGCAACATTGGGGACTTTCCCATTACATTTTCAGTAAGCATGTACCTTCACACATGAAAGAGTTTAGTCACTCAAAATTAACAGTTTAATCGCCTTATAGGAATAGTTCAGGTCAAAATGAAGTTGTATGAGTTTCTTTATTATGCTGAACACAAAAGAAGATATTTTGAAGAATGTCAGTAACCATACAGTTGATGGACCCCATTGACTTCCATAGTAGGAAAAACAAATACTATGGAAGTCAATGGGGTCCAACAACTGTTTGGTTACTGACATTCTTCAAAATACCTTCTTTTGTGTTCAGCAGAAGAGAGAAACTCATACAGGTTTGAAACTAGAGCCCGACTGATACGATACCGATACCGATACGATTATTTGTTGGTTTTAAAATCCGATATATCGGCCGCTATTTTTTTCTCCCAGAAACGCACAACAAAACATTAACAGATTTCCCTAACATAGTTATCTATGAGTTTTAACTAAAATAATATGATAAAGCATTTTAAAAAGAAACTTGTTTCTTTTATTTTCACAACAGAACCGAAAACATCAAAATATATTAAAGTTCTGATAAATAAAATAATAATTTGTCCCTACATTGCCTTATAAGCTACCTTATAATTACAATGTCAGGTTAGCTAGTCTATAATGAGCTATAATTTACCAATACATAATGTCATACTGCAAATTGTAAAACATACATTTTCAATTTAACAGGCCAAGGAGAGATGATTTAAGCGTGTTTCGTCCGTTTTTATTTTATTTTTGAAATATTAATTTATCGGCCGTTATAACTGCCGATACCTATAGTTTGGAAAATGTCTAATATCGGCCGATAATATCGGTAATAATGATCCAGTGATGCACTAATATCGGTCTGGCTCTATTTGAAACAACTAAATGATGACAATTTTCATTTTGAAGTAAACTAATCCTTTAAGGAAACCTTGTAAAGCTTACAGATTATGTCTTATACATACCATAAAAGACACAATCAAGCAATTAGAAAGAGTATATTTTTCAAAATGAACTCCTGTGATGATTTTATCCACAGAAACAGCAGTTTGCGAGTGAGTGGTGAATTTTACCTGCACAAAAGCACCACGACAGAGTCTGCTTTAGCCGGGATGAAGCCGAGAAGGAAGACGTTACGGCAGCCGCAGTTATAGCATTCGAGAACCGTCTCTCCCAGCGGCCCGTCCTTATGCAGCGTCACCTCCTTACATTTGGCCCTCACCAAATGGTTCACAATATGACTAAGACGACAAGTGAGACACCAGCCTTTAAGTGTTAACAATGCTTTTGAATTTGACAACACAAGCGTAACCTAATTGGCGGACTCACCTGCCAGAGGTGTTGCCCCGGCCATTGCAAAACCATTTCTTGCTGGTGTTGCAGTAAACCACACATGCTGGATCATGGATGCCACAGTAGCTACAAACATGCAAAACAAAAACCAGCCCACAGAATGATTACTGTAGCATACTAGTAACACACTCCCGTAAGAAAGAAGTCTCTTATACTCAACCAAGGCTGCATTTACTACATTAAACACACAGTATTGTGAAATATTATTGCAATTTAAAATAACTTTTCCATTTCAATATACTGTAAAATCAAATTTATTCCCGTGATGCAAAGCTAAGTCATTACTCCAGTCAAAAGAAATCATTCTAATATGCTGATTTGCTGCTCAAAAAAATAATCGTGGAAAATGTTTGTGAAAAACATGGTCAATTTTCTCAGGATTTATTCTTTGATGAATAGAAAATTCAAAAGAACAGCATTTATTTGAAATAGAAATCTTTATAAACGCTATAAAAGTCTAAAGTTAAATAATCTGTAAATATATATTTCTTTACACAGTCGTTTTAACCTAAAATCTTACTGATAAAATAACTACAATGACCTACATAAATACGGCATAATGTGCATTGTACAATAAGAAGGGTCACGCTAGCCTTGTGGGAGTTTGTTTGTATAAATGATTGGCCGACTGCAGTTTCCAGGGAAATTGTCCAATTGGAAATTGAAACTGTCAATTTTACAGCAAAGTGTCATATACAAATAATGCTGTGAGTGATCAGAGAATGAAATCATGCAACGGCCTACAGGTGAAACTCGAAAAATTAGAATATGGTGCAAAAGTTTGTTTATTTCAGTAATTCACCTTAAAAGGTGAAACTAATATATTATATAGACTCATTACATGCAAAGTGAGATATTTCAAGGCTTTATTTGTTATAATGTTGATGATTATGGCTTGGCTTGCAGATATGCAACTATATTGTAATTTTGAATTTTGGCTTTTCATTTCATTTCATTTATTTATTTATTTTACAGGGACAGTGCTCATTAATTGACAGTAAAATAACTGTAAATGAGCCAGAGTTAGCTCAACAGGCTAATTTGCATCTGTTGTCCCTGGCCAGTTATTATGATGGCAACCTAAAAACAAAATATAAAGCATAAGCTCTAAGCCATAATAAAGGCTACAAATAAAGCCTTGAATAAATATAAATATAAATAAATATCTCACTTTGCACGTAATGAGTCTATATAATATATTAGTTTCATCTTTTAAGGTAAATTACTGAAATAAATGAACATTTGCATGATATTATAATTTTTCGAGTTTCACCTGTATATCTCTCACAGCTATAGACACATAATTAAGGCACGTGAGATCAGGGCAGGAGTATCATCGTCATCGAATTCAGTACCTGCAGGCGTGCACGGGCAGATCTTTAGTGTAGTAAGTATCTTCCTCATCCTCTTCAAAGTTCAGCTCGGCCAGAAGTTGGCTGGTCTTCACCACTGCATCTTCTCCGTTGGGCAGAACTCCGTCAGGCCCGTTTACCTAAAAACACACATTTCACTTTAACACAATTTCTGCAAAACAAATCTTTAAATAGCACAAAAGTGAAACAGGAGATTCAATCCACTGCACAATGCTCAAATCACACACATCTGCATCTTACACCAGCAGGAAACTGCAGCACAAATGCTCTTAAATCAAGCATAAACACACACTTGATTTACTAAAACAATGAAACTTGCTCTGCTGCCTCATATAGTTACCCAAAGATGAAAATTAACCCATGATACTCACCGTCCTAGATGTATACGACTTTCTTCTTTCAGCCAAACAATTTTTGTAAGCTATATTAAAAAATATTCTGGCTCTTCCAAGCTTTATAATGGGAGTGAATGGTACCAGAGTTTTGGAAGCCTAAAAAAGCGCATTAATCCACGGCTCCAAGCCTTCTGGAGGGAAAACATCCAACATCCAGTCTTCCGCTGGAACTAGACTCACTTATCGGAAGCCAGTGATTATAGTTTATAAAGTTAAATAATGGATATTTTTCTTTAAAATGCATTGTTTTGCTCCAGAAGATTTTATGAACACCCTGGATGTGCTTTTTTAGGCTTCCAAAACTCAGGTTCCATTCACTCCCATTATAAAGCTTGGGTATTTTTTAATATAACTTAAAAAATTGTTTGGCTGAAATAAGAAAATCATATACATCTAGGATGGCTTGGGTAAATTATAGGATAATTTGTTTCATTTTTGGATGAATTAACCTTTAATGCACAAAAAACCTGATGCAACATATTATTAGAGCAAACATTAAACAATAATATAGCTAAATCATTCACCTTTAAACACACCAAAACATCTAACTTACCTGACCAAAACAAGCCTTATAATGAAACACTCATACTAAAACCTCAAACATATTCATTTAAGACCAGTGTAACTTAACACACAACACAATAACACATTATGAGAAGCAACTACTTACATAAACAAGCCCTAAAATACCACATAAATGCTCAAATACGGTGCACAATTATATAATAACGTATACTTGAAAACACATAAATCCCCACATCAGCGGCAAAACTACATTATAATAACATCAATATAGTAAACAAATATCTGACAACACACCTGACAGCTGTAGCCAACTCAAGATATCTGTAATAACACGTGCTGTTTAATATATTAAGAAATCTAGATTACTATTAACGCCACTGTAAGTTAGTTCACAAAAGTCCCTCAGAAAGTAAGAAAATACACCTGGGATCCGTAGCTAACCAACCAAAACAAACTATTTGACATAACACATTCATTATCAATAATAACATACAAGATAGTATATTTGATTGAACTTATTAGTATATAAAATTAGTTAAAACATTAATGTAGTTGACAAAAGTCCCTCTGACAACTCTCTCTCTCTCTCTCTCTCTTGCAGGCGGCCTGCTCTATCGTTGCTAACGCTACCGCGCGGCTAACTGCTAGCTCGCCATATTTGGACTCAAACGCGTTCTAGCCCGGCTGATTTAAAGCTCGTTTGAGTGTTTTAAGCGTTTATAATGTTACCTGGTTGTCGAGCTGACTCTGGGTCTGGCCTTGGGTTTGGGTCTGGCTGGGCAATGTAAAGTCGGTGAACTCGAACTCGGAGCCCTGCGTGTCGGCCCCGAGAAGCTCCGTTTCCTCCGTGTCCAGGAAGGTGAGCGTTTGCGAGCTCGGCCCGTACGCCTCCACACTCATCTTTATCCGGCTCTATTGACCGCCTTTATTTCACAGAAAACACCGAATAATCCGTCCGAGATACGGGAGAATAACCGACCGAAGCGCGTCGGGCGACGTTTGTTTTGATTCGAAGCGAAGAGAAGGAAACGGCGCGCGCGATGGGCTCGTGCAGAAATGAAAGCAAACGATTCCGGAGAAAGATTCGACTCCCACTCGAGAGCGCGACGCACGGTGACGACACGGGCGAGCGCAACCGACGTAGAGCGCACAGTGCCGCTGACGTGTACACACGTTTGCTGTTGTTACAGGAAAAGCTCTCGTTTGTCAACATTTTGCTGTCATTTTAGAGCTTCTCTCAATGACACATCGTCTAGAAATAGAAGTCCTGCTCTTTCTGAAATATTATATTGTTTATAATCACCATGGGAAAATCTAACAGTAAAATTGGGAGCTGTGAAAAATGATACACCGGTTTTGCCAGATGAGAAGTTTATCTATCCATCATCTTACGCCTTTTATAACTGTATTATCTGTATATCTCTTTTATTTTGTGATTATTTTAATTTCTTTCTGCGTAAAGCACTTGAAATGTGCTATAATAAACTTGCCTTGCGCAAAATATTTTGGTTTTGCAGAATAAAGACAGTATATATGTGAATGGGTTGTGTCCTGAAGTTTTATTAAAAATAATAAATCCATTGATAAATTTAAATGCATTACGTTTTAACGACCTAATAATATGTAATAACCGTCAATATGTGTAATTATCAATTATTTGTTTTTATGTATCTGACTTCATCAAAAGGTGAATAAAGAGTGAAAAACCTGAAATATTTGGACCTCTTAATGCGCATTTTCATTGTAAACATACTTATATTAATAGGCCTCTATCTTTATAATACGATATGCTGATAATAAAATTAGTAATGCAACATTTTGTTACATTTTACAACATGAAAAACACATTTTGTGAATTTAAGATGAAAAAACAATTAAATAAGGCAGAAATCATTTATTAAGAGCTACGGTTTATAAAAAAGTGGAAGAATAAGGAAACACAAACATAATTAGGAAACACAACAGCGTCCACCAGAATGTGGGAATATTAAAGGATACACTTGTCAGAACACTTAATTCAATAAAACTGACCAGTGGAAATAAGGAAATGCTGAAAATAACAGTGTTTTTAGGCAACATTAAAATAATGAAGATTCACAGCATTATCTGTTTGGTCCAGTACTCAAATTCCAGTAAAAATCTTAGAAAAACAAACTAAAGAAAGAAAATTAAAACCATATGCAATTCAAATCACTTTTTATAAAATCATATAATGGATAATGTAATGCAATGTATAATGTCATGTAATGTGATTTAATGCAATGTATAATGTAATGCAATGCTATGTAATGTATAATCTAATGTAATAATTAAACACAATGTATAATGTCATGCAATGCAATAAAATTTAATGCAAAGTATGTCATGCAATGCAATATAATTTAATGCAATGTATAATGTCATGCAATGCAATGTAATTTAATGCAATGTATAAAGTCATGCAATGAATAATGTAATTTAATGCAATACAATGTGCAATGTTATGTAATGTAATTAATTAACTGTCAATCAGCAGTTATTTTAGTACAGGGCCAAAATTCTACATAGTCCAAAATTCCAGCATTTTGCAAAGAGTAAGAAAGCAATATAAGAAGAACATCTCCAACAACATCCACTGAGAGAAGACAGACATCACCTTACAATCATCTCACGACTTCACATTTCGTATAATTAACAAAAGCCAAACCTCTGATGTCTTCACAGCCAGCACAGATAGCAATAGACCTTGATTACTCAAAAGGCATCAGATTTAGACCCTGTACATTAAAGGATTAAAATGGTGAAAAACACATTTGGATTGTACAGTTAGGAGTGATGCATGTATCCTAAAAGTCTGATTACTCACTTTGGCACTTTAATAGCCAGACAGACATAGTTATTACGTCCTTATATCACTGTCCAGAAGCCGAAACATTGTTTTTACTTCGTCGTCATTTTAAACCAGCCTTTCCACCTGCTCTGTAGTCTGTGATCAAATAAGCTGAGGTGCTCATACTCCCTGCCCAGTGTGTGTGTTTGGGGTATTTTTGAAAGCTGCAAATTATACTGTCATTGAGATTATAGTTTTCACCGATATTTTAAATTATGTTTTTAGTTTTGTTAACTATAAAAACCCTGATTTAAAACGCTACATACACACTTAATTGGTAACACATTACAATAAGGTTTAGTTAATGCATTAACTAACAATGAGCCAAGGCAGTCAAACGATTAATCGCATCCAAAATAAGTTTGTGTTGACATAATATATGTGGGTGCACTGTGTATAGCCTAATTATTTTGTATAGCCTATATATAAATACACACACATGCATGTATATTTAAGAAAAAAATATTTATATATAACATTTTTATATTTATATATAATATAAATTATATATAAATCTATATACAGTATATACTTGAAAATATTTCTTAAACATATACAAGCATGTGTGTGTATTTATATATAGTATATATAATAATTATACACAGTACACCCACATATATTATGTAAACACCAACTTTTATTTTGGATGCGATTAATCGCGATTAATCTTTTGACAGCCCTACAATGAGCACTAACTGTTTTCAGCATTTATTAACCTTTGTTCATGATGGTTAATAATAACAATGCTCATGTTAGTTCACAGTGCATTTAAAGATTCAACATTTGAGCTTAAAAATGTGTCACCCAAGATTAATAAATGCTGTAGATGTATTGTTCATGTTAGTATTAGCAAATGAAACCTTATTGTAAAGCGTTAGTACCTAATCTGTTAAAAAACGAATATTTAAAACAAGACGACGGTGAGAGAAATAGACATACTATAGTTTCGACACGGTTTTCACATTATGCATAATACCAAATCTCTGCATGTTTCAAGTATACCCCACTAAAGTGCTTTCTTAATGATTTGAGCCCAGGATTGAGTTTAGCACACGAGTCGACTCTCACACCAGCTGAATGCTCCGTGTACGTAGCACACAAGTTAAGATATCGAAGTCTTCAAATGTGCATGAGCTCTTGAATCCAAACAAGAGTGTGTGAGACTCTCACTGGTGGTGCGGACAGTGTTTCTTTCCCTTGTTTTGCTCCATCAGTTCAAGCATCTCCAGAACGACGGCTCTGAGGGCGCGAGCCAGATCCTCTGCGCTGTACGGTTTTCCCAGAGGAGGAACATGGACAAACGCAGATCTGCCGTCGCCCAGAAACAGAGACGTGTAGTAGGTGTAGTCACACAGATACCTGAGGAAAGAGGATGGGGGATGGGGTCTTTGTTACACTGTAATTATACATTTAAAGGGATAGTTCACTTTGAAATTAATTTATTCGTTCGATAGGACATGTAAACACCTGATCGGATTGAAAACCGAAACTGGAAAGTTCTATGCATATGCAATGACAGAAATGGTGAATTATGACTTGTTAAACTGCCATTATAAAGCTTGGAAGACCCAGGACATATTTCTATATATCAGGGTGAATAAATCATGTGCTAATTTTAATTTTGGGGTGAACTATCCCTTTAAGAGGGTTTTGACTGATTATTATGACCTCTGACTGTAGAAGTGAGATCAGTGTAGTTTGAAATATTGGCTAATATGGACTGGATGCTTATATAACGCGTCTCTTTATTCAATATAACAATACATCAGTGCACTAGTCTGCATAAACCATAAAGAACTGGAATACAATCATTTCTGTCCTTCAGAAACAAACATATTATTATTTAATAACACATTAATTATTTATAATTATTATTATATAATATATAATATTTATTATATATTAAATATTATTATTTAATAATATTTATTATTAAATATTATTATGTAATAATAAATTATTATTTATTATTAAATAATAATTATATTATTTAATATAATTATTATAGAATATCGGCCATTATTATTTAATAACACAATTTCAAGGTGTGTAGATATTAAAAGTCTCCATATATATTGTGAAAAGAATATCTAGTGTATTTGTTAAATATATTGTCATGTCAATCTAAAATTGTCGTCTTCTAATTATGACCCAAATTAGATAAATATTAAACCTGATTAATATGAAGCGATGGTAGGACGCTGGTTATAATGCGCTAACAGCTCTATATTAGTGCAGTGTGAGCATGTCAACAGATCAAATCCAATTTGAAGCTTGTGACATATAAACCCGATCAATTTATTTAGCGTTCATGTAAACACTATGTTCGGATTCATCATCTGGATGAAACTAAATGTGTCCATGTAAACGCAGATACAATACAATGAGAACATACAGTACAAAACACACATACAATTTGCGGTCATAAGTTCACATATACCTTGCAGAATCAACAAAATCGTAATCATTTTAAGAAAAATCATAAAAATGCAAAAATGTTTAATTATTTATCAATGACATTAAGTATGTAAACTTTTGACCAGCTCGATTAAAAAAAAAAGTCTTGTGGACTATACGCAAACATTTGTTAAGTGAAATATATGCAAATATCACATGAAATTTTAATGATCCTTCTTTATTTTGTTAACCCTCTGGGGTTCTTCGTTTAACAGTCACACTCGGGGCCTTCGGGTCAAAATTGATTCTTATTTAAAAAAGAAAATCCAAATTTTTTTTTTACTTGTTTTTTATAATATTTTTTCTTTTCTTTTTTGGTGTTTTGAGAAAATTTCAAAAATAAAAAAAATATATAATTAGTATTAATGCAATAATTATGACCAAATTCTCCCCCATTGAATATAATAGAAAAAAAATATTAAACATTTAAAAAAAAAAATTTTTTTTTTAAAGCTGTATTTCATTTTGGAGTCAAGCCTAGGCCTCATAAAAGCAATTTTTTAATTAGATGGATGCCATTTCGTGGACAAACTGAGCTTTTTAAAAATGCATTTGGTGTGTTTGTGTATAAAGGTGTGTTTGTGTGTGTGGATGTGTCTGTTTTGCACTCTTGATGTTTTATAGATTCACCCCTTCACTGTTGTGTGCTTTTTTCAAGATCGTTGCTGATTTGTAGATTGTACGCACAAAAAAAACTCCAAAAAAAAAAGTATATTCACATTTTTGCCAATTTCCCATTCATTTCCTATGCGGGTCCTGAGTGTGACTATTTTTTTACGACCACTTAGACTTTTCAAAACCTGTCCCCAATTTGTTTGGGTGTTCATATACCAAGTACCATTAAAGTCACCAAGTTTCGGACCATTCCGATGAAGCTACGATTTTTAACATTTTTTTATTTAAACGCTTCGGGTCATTTTTGATCTGAAGAACCCCAGAGGGTTAAAATGATTTTCGTTTTAGAAATTCTGCAAGGAATCAAGTGAACTTATGACTGTAATTGCACATATTATGTCATTTTTACAATCTTGAAATACTTGAATGTTGATTATTACCAGTCTGTCAGTAACGCTCTGTTTACTTCCTGTCTCTCTGAAGCCCCTCCTACTGAAAAGCACACTGTGCTCCGATTGGTCGGCTGGATCAGTGTGCACTTCGAGTGTGTTTAGAAAATGTCTCGCCCTTTACCATAACCACCAGTTTCAACACACTACTAACTAACTCAACCAGGCCCCGCCCCTTTATTCTGCATATTAATTATTATAATGAGGAATATTATGACGTGTTCGTACCCGGAAGAAACTCAAGACTACAATGGAGGCGTTTCAGCGAGTACAGAAACACCGACACTGAGCTTTTTCCTGCTCAAACAGCATAATTACACACTAAAAGTCCTGTTTAAAAGAGCATTTCACTGCGTGTTCGAGAAACGTCCATACCTGCCGGCGTCCTTCGAGACAGACACAGAGACCCCGAGCCCAGAGGAGTTGACTCTCTTGCAGACCGCGTCCATGTCTATGACAGAATGAATGCAGTCGGGTCCTCCCTCCTTACAGCAGCGGGACTCGGGACAGAACCGGCAGTTGTCCAACCTCATGTAACCCTGGTTATGACCACACTGTTCCAGCGTTACTGTGGTGGCCATCCCCGAAACTCCAACGTGGACAACTAACTTTGAAAGAGCAGAAAGAAGAATATAAGCTTTAAAAAAAAAAAAAAAATCTGTTCTGTCAAAAATGCTTAATTTCTGTGCTTTAATGCATTAAAAATAATTAATCTAATTAACCAGTGCTTATTTCTCTGGGTTTAAACATTCTTGGAAACATTTGGAATTATGTAAAGTACACAAGTTTACAAAGTATATAACATTGTTCTAGTGGTTTTTGGATATTTTAATCCAAATATCGTACATATTGTGCCTTTAATAGGGCTGTCAAAAATTATGTTAATGGTTTATTAATAATTAACGCAGCATCCGTATTTTATACGGATACGCATCCGTTACTGTATGCGTATATGATCACGTGATCTGTGCGCTGAACCAGCTCCGTGAGCCAAGAGATCTGCATATAAACCAGTCATTTATTACTTAATAAACTTTGCAAAAATATTCCTTTAAAAAAAAATTAAAGTATCAGCTGTATGCAAAGTGACCCATATTTGGGTTTTGGCTACTACAAATCTATATAATTGACTAATTTAATCATGGAGTAAATTGAGATCCGCATATCTCTAGAAATGAAACATGTTGGGCCTTAAAAATTAAAAAACTAAAGTAAAAGTTTGTTAAGAACCAGAATCTAAAAGGATATTAAGAGATTCTTAATACTTCTTGAGTTACAGGCATGCAAACTTAAAAAAACACAAGTGCTTTTTCCCTTTTTTAAACTGTCACACACACACAAATGTTTATGTTAGATGCGATTCATCGATTTGATGGCACTGGTTATACTAGGGCTGGGTATTGACACAAATTTCACAATTCGATTTGATTTCGATTCCGATTAGATTCGATATTGATTATTTTGGATGTCAGTTCCAATAAATGGCAAATTTTCTCAAGGAAATCAAATCTCTAACTAATGCTGTAAACTATGGGAGTCTAGTTGTAGCCTATAGACTTCATTAGCCTAATATGAAGGTAATAATGAACTGTTTTGTAGCTATACAAACACTTAAATTACACTTTTATTTATTTTTATAATAAGAAGATTATATGAAATATAAACATTTAAATGGTGGCTGTCATAAAAACTTGCCAGATTTATTCAAATATGCATTAAATATTGAAGAACATTAAAATTATAATGCATATGTAATATGGTGTATATATTTAGCAAAATGCTCCTCTCTAGAGTTATTTTTTCTAGCTGACTAACGAGTTTATGTGGGTTTTCTGAGGTAAATATGACGATACATGAAAGATTCGGCTGATTGAGCGAATCAATGTGACATGATCTGGATTTGGATAAGTTGTACTCTATCTTTAACACACTTTCAGATGCTCATTCATGTTTATTTGGCGCTGTGACTGGTATTATTAAGCCGGAAGAGAGATCAGCGCTGCTGCTTCTCCAGAGCGATCTCACGCCACAGCGACAAAACGCTATTTATGTTTTTGAATTTCTAAAGAAAATGGACGTAATTTGAAAATTGAGACTTTGTTTCATATCAATAGTAACAAAAGACAAAGATTATTGCGAGTTTTTGGATGCGCGCAGCCGCGATACAATGATCCATTCATTCAAATGAAACAGGATGACTAATCGATTCTTGAGATTTAAGAATCGATATCGGTCCGTAAAAATGAGAATCGATTAATATCAAGAAATCGATATTTATTACCCAGGCCTAGTTTATACCGATAAAAACTCATTTGCTACAACACAAACATGCGGTAATGAGAAATGTTTAGGTGTTTTATCGCTAAGTGTGTGTGATTGCGGGCAGATATAGGTACGCTACTTGTGGGAGGTGCTGTTTCCATAGAGACGGCAGGAGAGTTTGGACGGCCTGATACTCCACAGGAACTTCAGCAACATGAAGGTTTATTTCGTCACCCAAACCCAGTTTCTCCAGCTCCTGAGAAGAGGACATTTTACACAAGAAAATGTTACTGCTTCTCCAACCTTTGTGAAGATTTCAGACCGCCAATACTGTCTAATACTATCCTTATCTAGTAATT